TCATAACATAGAATTAAGTTTCAGACTACTATTACACTTTTGATACATCCTAGGTTTACAGATTATAGACCCATACTATGTGCCAAATCAAGAAACGCACTTGGTACTTGCTAGAGCATATTATGAACTATCGACCCACATTTTGCAGAACTATAGACCCATAGTCCTATACTATCCAATCATACGTAGTCATATGCCAAGCACTAATGATCGTGGTCTGTGGATGTTTGTTTATAAAGATGTCTAGGGAGATGGAGAGGATAGGAGTAGGAGGAGAATCATTTTGATGAGCATTCCATGTTGAATGTATGTGCAGGGGATCAAGAGGGCATAGGGGAGGATTAAGATTTACTTGGAATAGGGGTAATGGGGGTGAAGGGGAGGACAGGAGATGGGGATCACAGGAAGCATAGGGGAGGATTAAGATTTAGTTGAAAGAGGGGTAAGGGGGTGCATGGGAGGGTCTGAGATGGGTGTTCCACGGAGCATAGGGGTGGATTAAGATTTAGTTGAAAGAGGGGTAATGGGGTGCAGAGGAGGGCAGGAGATGGGGATCACAGGAAGCATAGGGGAGGATTAAGATTTAGCTGGAAGAGGGGTAATGGGGGTGAAGGGGAGGACAGGAGATGGGTGTTCCACGGAGCATAGGGGAGGATTAAGATTAAAGGGATCGTTTAACAATGTTAAATCTGATATACACGGCCCTACGTGTTATCAGTGTCTGTGATATGGTGTAATATTGAAGCCCTAAAAAAATTGCGCTTCAAAATGATCAAGAAGTGCCTCAAAAAAGTAAAAATCATTGAGTGACTGGTTTTACCATACTCGTTTTCCCCAATAGACTGTAGTGTTATGAAAACCGTCAGGCGAACGGTTTTCAAAATTTATAATTCCAATCATAAATATCTTGATAATCAGACAGGCGATCGGCTTGTAAAAGTCATGGGGTTCCTGACTGACCTAAAGGTTTATAATTATCATTGCATCATGAGCTAAATCCAGAATTTTGTTTCAGAATCTGAGACAAAGTTACCGGATCCCTTTAAGTTGTGAGAGGGGTAATGGGGTGCAGGGGAGGGCAGGAGATGGGGATCACAGGGAGCATAGGGGGGGGATTAAGATTTAGTTGTAAGAGGGGTAATGGGGTGCAGAGGAGGGAAGAAGATGGGGATTCCAGGGAGCATAGGGGTGGATTAAGATTTAGTTGAAAGAGGGGTAATGGGGTGCAGGGGAGGGCAGGAGATGGGGATCACAGGGAGCATAGGGGTGGATTAAGATTTAGTTGAAAGAGGGGTAATGGGGTGCAGAGGAGGGCAGGAGATGGGGATCACAGGGAGCATAGGGGTGGATTAAGATTTAGTTGAAAGAGGGGTAATGGGGTGCAGAGGAGGGCAGGAGATGGGGATCACAGGGAGCATAGGGGTGGATTAAGATTTAGTTGAAAGAGGGGTAATGGGGTGCAGAGGAGGGCAGGAGATGGGGATCACAGTGAGCATAGGGGTGGATTAAGATTTAGTTGAAAGAGGGGTAAGGGGGTGCATGGGAGGGTCTGAGATGGGGATTCCAAGGAGCATAGGGGAAGATTAAGATTAAGTTGGGAGAGGGGTAATGGGGTGCAGGGGAGGGCAGGAGATGGGGATTCCAGGGAGCGTAGGGGTGGATTAAGATTTAGTTGGAAGAGGGGTAATGGGGGTGCATGGGAGGGTCTGAGATGGGGATTCCAGGGAGCGTAGGGGTGGATTAAGATTTAGTTGAAAGAGGGAGTAGTGATGGTGCTAGAGAAGGTGGAGATCAATTCGATGAGCATTCCATTCCAAATAAATGTGATGAGGTTCAAGAGAGCATTGGAAGGGTAGAGACTGATGTAGGAGAAAGGAGGAGAGAGGGGGGGGGGGTGTACATATGGTGTTAATCGGATTGTTCGGGGGAGGACAATAATCATTAGGGAAAGAGATGGATAGCTGTATGACAGGAGAATATGCCTCTGTCATCGTATAAAGGAAAATCAACATTCAGTGGCAATAAGTTGCAATGCAGGAAATGTTAGAAGACATTATAGTTAGCCTTCGAAGCAGACGCAGTATGCAAATAAACATTTTTTTCTTTTACTATATGGGCGATGAAAGGGTGTCATATATAGGAGATAATATTTACAAATCAAATCTTTCAGATATCACTTGTTTCAGGTTTTCTTCTTCTTGACATCAATGAAACATCTTCTCTTTATGCATTGAAAGATTTCCTTCTAACGATCTGAGTTTTTTTTTTTACACAAAGGGCAAAAAAAGAAGATCAATTTGTCTTCCTTCCTGTCTCCTGAGCGATAACAAGTCGGTAAAAATTGATGCACTTTCTTAGAATGTCAAGATCATGTAGATCTTTTATTTATTGTCACTCATTAGAGCCTGAGGCTGATGTTTAGGATGGCACTAAACCTCCGTTGGGCTTACATAATTAATGCTAATTTCTTGCAATTTTTTATTGAGGAGGAAAATACCGAGAAGACGCTTCGACGTCTAGCTCAGGCTGCATCACGATCGCTTGATTAAAAGTACCGCCATTGTTCATCTCGCTTAAAGGTGCGATTGCATCTTTATAGAGACTTTCTAATGTTATAGACAAAACATTGGAAATTTGAGCAGATCAAATCTAATCAATTTAAATAAATTGAGTGAAGTAGAACATCCACAATTTTGGATCATCATCAATATCTTGATAGAGTCTTCCATAAGTTTGTGCAAAAGTAAAAGTTTGTTTTTTAATTGAATAATCACAGTATTGTTGGGAATGTGATTCAATTACTTTATGGCGTGACACTTTCACTAATCTCATCCACTTGTGTAAATAAAAATTGTGAAAGTTTTGTTTTGTTTTATGGAAGGAAGTAGCAAGAATCTTCAAAGACCTTGAAAAAAAACATGACCAGGTACTACTTGAATGAAGGAGAACCTTCACAGCGAGGAAAATCATTTAATTGTCTCAACAAGTTTTGTGAAAATGTTATTTGGGCTCCCAACACTTGAGAGGGGCTTTAACACCGTGATGGTTCTGTGTGAACCTGGCTAATATGATGTCTTATTTTTATGCATCTGATGGAGGTTATGAAGTTCAGTGAAGTGTTTGAGTTTGAGTTGATTTTGAGTTTATTGAGCTGCGAAGGTATCGTGTGAACCTGGCTAATATGATGTCTTATTTTCATGTATCTGGTGGAGGTTATGAAGTTCAGTGAAGTGTTTATTAAGCTGTGAAGGTTTTGTGTGAACCTGGCTAATATGATGTCGTATTTTCATGTATCTGGTGGAGCTGAGGTTATGAAGTTCAGTGAAGTGTTTATTGAGCTATGAAGGTATCGTGTGAACATGGCCAATATGATGTCTTATTTTCATGTATCTGGTTGAGGTTATGAAGTTCAGTGAAGTGTTTATTGAGCTGTCTGGAAATAGAATAGGGTATGACGCAGAGATAGGTGATGAGTTTAACACGTTGAGAGTATGCGAGGAGCATAACACAGGAGGGCACTGAACGTTTGGTATAGGGAGGGAGAGGGAGAGATGGAGAGAAAGAGAGAGAGAGAGAGAGAGAGAGAGAGAGAGAGAGAGAAACAGAAAATGAGTACGAGATAAAGACAGAAAAATAGAGAAACAGAGACAGAGAGAGAGAGAGCGATGGAGAGAGAATGATGGATACGCATAGAGAAAGAGATGGAGAAAAGGAGAAAGCAGGAATAGAGAAACAGAAAGAATGACCGAAGGAGAAAGGGTGATAGGAATATTGTAGGAAAAAAAAGATTTCAATAACGAAGGGATATACCCCATTGAGAAAGACGATATACAATATTATACATGTAGTTGTGAGATAGAGAAAGAGGATGAGAGATAGAGAGAGAAAACAAATGTGAATACACCTATCTTGGGCCCTATTATATGTGTCAATCTGTCTGCGTCTTGACCTCGTTTGCATTTCCTCCCGCCTATCTTAAATACTTTTTCTTTACTCCAGAACCAGTACCTTCTTCCATCGTTTCACTCAATGATTGATCTACAGTATGAACACACCCATGCGTCCCCATTATATGTGTCCATCTGTCTACATCTTGAAACCATTTACACCTTATTGCCTGTCTTAAATACTTTTTCATTAATCCGGTACCTTCTTCCATCGTTTCACTCAGCGTATAATCTACAGTATGAACACACCTATCTATTACATTTGTCCATCTGTCTACATCTTGACACTGTTTACACCTTCTTATTGCCTATCTTTAGTACTTTTTATTTAATCCACTACCTGCTTCCATCGTTTCACTCAACGTATAATCTAAAATGTGAACAAGCCTATCTATTACATGTGTCCATCTGTCCGCGTCTTGACCCCGTTCACACCTTCAATCACCCGTCTTACTCCTCGTTTCCTGTATTTGATGTCATTACCATTAAAGCATCTCACTCAAGAGGCTATCTCGCAACTTTCCTCGCCGCCTCCGTTTATAGCGCTCTATTTCTTTTGACGATGTCGTTTGCGGTGGCCACGACTGGCTGGCTCACTTGTATATTGGCTCTGAATGTGTGTGTGTGTAAATGTCTCAATGTATAATGAAATTCATTTGCCAGAAGTTTTCTAGTGTAGTCAAGAATTCAATGTTTCTTCCACTCATGAAATAACGGAACAATCCAAATGATATAATGTATAAGGTCTACATGGAGAAGTCATGAATTTTAATATGTAAACTTATTATTCATATGCATCTTTATATTTCCTCACAAAGAAAGGGAAAAATGAAATGAAAGTTTATCAAAAATCAGATGAATTTAAGAGGTAATCTGTCCATGTTGACAGAATACCTAATTATGATAGTTTAATGAGTTTATGTGTGATGCATATGAAATCATTATAAAACTTGATTTGTACTAAACATTGTTTAACCGTCCGTAATGCTAACCTTTTATATTTTGTCTTCTTTTCTTTTCATGTGCTGTTCTTCCATTGGTTCATTTAATTAGGTAAGTGACTTTCAAAATTGATTTTATAGTATAAAATAGAAGAGAACTTGAGGGAAAGAGAACAAGAGATGTAAGTTAACAACCGCATTCTCATGTAGAGACAAAAGTGGTTCTAAAATATGGGATTAAAGAAAATGAAAGGCAAGCAAAAAAGAAAAGAAAAAGGAGTCTACGAAAGGACTATCACTCAATCTATCCATCTACCCCTCAATTTAGGGAGGAAAGATGCCGAATGCTACATGCCATCGTCATGACAACCCCTCCCATCTGTCTCTCTCTCCTCCCCAATAAGGGACTAGGTTAAGAGGTGTGCTGAGTGGCTTGCTATACTAAAACAAGAAACATACCCACACCGGCGATCATAAAACCAACTTTATAACACCAGACATGAAAGTGATAATGATAGCCTGGTAATATGCCAACGCTTATTGTCGTCGTTGGCGCACTTAACTTTCAAGAGCCTGCAAAATGTGGGGAGACGTGACAAGCCACAGAATTTTGCGGACGATGGCTCGTAAATTATTCCACCGATTAGGAGCTGTGACGCCACATAAATTGTATAAAATAAAATTGTTATCCCTGGATCAAGGGGCACAGAGTGGGCTTTAAACTGAGATAAAAATGTTTTTACACGATTGATGCTCTCAAATTAAGTTATCATTCACATAATTTGTGTTAACTTTCATAGATCAAAGGAATTGTTAAACACAATGATAATACAAATACAGTGAAAAGGATAAAACAACACATTTTCCATATGGTAATTTTAAGTTATCCATACATATCGTGGTTTCATATACTTTCATTGTTTGCATCAATTTTTTATCAGCCGACAAATTTGAAAATAGATCGATTGTAAATATGTGATATCATGTGTTGAAAGTCATAAGGCTATCAACACTAAATATTTATAATATAGTGCTGGTCATTTCCTCTATTGTATCCCAAGTTGTTGTTACAGTAGATTAATTTGAGATGCTCATATGTCCTTTACCGTACACTGTCATCCTGAAACCATACATAAGTCTATAAAAAAAGAAGAGAGATAAATAATCAGATTTCATTTATTTAGTAGAGAGAGAGAGAGAGAGACTTGGACATTTTGCAAGACATTATGATTGGGAGAAGCTTAAAGATATTGTCCCCCTTTTGTCCGGTGAGAGCAAGGAAGTCATTAACTGTGTGTTAAATGGTATGAGTTACAGCCCTTCTGCTTCTGAGGCTCTGAGTCGACGATTTGTTCGAACCGAAAGCCTGAAGGCATTTACCGCTTTGGCTGATGTCTTAGGTCATTGACTTCAACAATGAGGTGACTTTGAACGCTATCGAAACGAGACAAAAACAAAACCCAAACAAAAACATTCATGTCGATACTCGCCCCTCCTGACCGTGCCTCAGACACCGTCCCGTCTCCCCCCTTTGAGTCGATTTCCCACACTTCCATTCCCCCAGTGGCCCACCTGACACACCTTTCACCCCTCACCTTTTCTCCTTTACCCCTCACACAAAAGCCTGACTCTTTAATGTATCCCTTTTCCCTCCCCTTACCCCATTTCTTTACCCCTTCAACAAAGGTTTGGCTCCGTGTATCAGAATGTAACAGTCTGCTACTGTATGCAAACATGCTTTTATAATGGGGACCAAGTGGCAGGGCTATGCATAATTGATGACCCCTTCCCACTTCGAACTAAAGCCCCCCTCTCGGTCCTTTTGATACAGGGGTGAGAATGGGCCTCGGTCTTTGGTCCTAGTCTGTTATGTAGACCCCGTGGACCCTGGCTGGACTTGTATTTCGCTTGGACCAATGCATAGCAGCTCTTCTTATCAACATTTTTACCCAAACCAAGGCCCTGTTTCATTACACTTGTTATCAATGACAAGATATGATAAATGTTATGAGCTACTGAATATTAAACTGAAATCATTTTATTTGATTGGCTGAAAGCAGACTTGTCATACTGTGCTTATCCTAGAGCAAATTCCCATTCTTTTGAAAAGAAAACCCTACAAGAACATGAAATCAATTCTAGTAAAAATGCATTACAAGACTCTAAATTATTCAATATGGAAATTAGAATTGCCTACTTTTCAACCAAGATTTCAAATCATAAAACAAAACCCATTAACACATCCCTATCCCACCCTCCCCCCCCAAAAAAAAAACATTAAAAATAAACGATGGAGCTCCCAGATTCTATTGCAAAAAATAAGCAAGTCATTTGATTCCTCAGACAGACCATACACAACATTTCCCAACAAAGTTCGAAACAAAATCGGTATGAAACATTGTGCTAAGCATTGCTGAAATACGAGCATTTGGGATAATATTACAAGGGGTCTGTTTATCTTTTAAGACAAGACTAGTCCTAGACCATCTCCCTTTTCTCCTCCATGCAGAGTCCAGACAATATACTTGTCCTTCTTCCTTTTGTTCTTGGAGAGCGGTGGAGTTCTAAAGGGTGTTGATGCTTGTTTGGGGTCTACCAGTCTCCCTTATTTACATACTTAAGTGAAAGTTACATGCTCAGGAATGCCTGGGCTTTCGATCTCTTCCCGAGTTTTGTTTGTCTCGCTCGCGATCTGCTGGGGCTAAGCCAGCAAGTTTATGCCTGTACTTATGACCTGCGTTTGTTAAATTATTTTTTGTTTGCAAACAGTTCTGCCTCCGAAATCACCTGAATCCCAATTTAGTAACTTTTATGTCTATGAGTAAATGGATACATGTGTATCTAGGGAGAGATTCCAGATTCCGCATTGATATACCTGTACCAGGAATTGATCAGTTATTAGCAGTGGAAAACTTGTAAAGAGCATTAGAAGAAATCAAAATGTGTTACCTGATAATTTACCCTGATAGTTGCTATAAGAAGCATCCCTCATTAGGCTTCTGAGTACTATACTAAATTAAGACATATAATATGGATCAACTTTGCATGAAGGCTGAGAAAACCTGCTCTTCACCTCGCCCTTATATGAGATATTTTCTTGAGGTGTGTCAAAATAGAGTTATGCATTTTCAAAAGTTGGTTGGGGTAGGCAACTTCTTATTGGGGCAAAACTTTCCTTATTTACATACCTGTACTTCATTTCCCTCAAGTTGAGTGACATTTACAAGCCCAGCAAAGTTATTTTGAATTTCATGAAGATGAGACAGCGAGCATATTGCTACTGCTCCTGGCCAATTATCCATTTGTGTATAAATGATATACAGTTATACACTTATCATCTGTGGAGAGCCAGAAGGGCATTAACTCATAGCCTCTTTCTCTCCCTCCCCTTTCTTCTCTCTCTCTCTCTCTCTCTCTCACTCTCCAATTCTCTCATCTTTCATCTTTCTCTCTCTCTCTCTCTCACTCCAATTCTCTCATCTTTCATCTTTCTCTCTCTCTCTCTCTCTCTCTCTCTCTCTCTCTCTCTCTTTATTTCTCTCATCTTTCATCTTTCCCTCTTTCTCCCTCCACTCTCTCTCTCTCTCTGTAATTCTCTCATCTTTCATCTTTCCCTCTTTCTCCCTCCACTCTCTCTCTCTCTCTGTAATTCTCTCATCTTTCATCTTTCTCTCTCTCTCTATTTCTCTCATATTTCTCTCTCTCCCTCCCCTTTCGTCTTCTTCTCTCTCTCTCTCTCTTTATTTCTCTCATCTTTCATCTTTCCCTCTTTCTCCCTCCACTCTCTCTCTCTCTCTGTAATTCTCTCATCTTTCATCTTTCCCTCTTTCTCCCTCCACTCTCTCTCTCTCTCTCTCTGTAATTCTCTCATCTTTCATCTTTCCCTCTTTCTCCCTCCACTCTCTCTCTCTGTAATTCTCTCATCTTTCATCTTTCCCTCTTTCTCCCTCCACTCTCTCTCTCTCTCTGTAATTCTCTCATCTTTCATCTTTCCCTCTTTCTCCCTCCACTCTCTCTCTCTCTCTCTCTGTAATTCTCTCATCTTTCATCTTTCCCTCTTTCTCCCTCCACTCTCTCTCTCTCTCTCTCTCCACCTTCGCTCTCTCTCTCTCTCTCACTCTCACTCTCTCTCTCTCTCTCTCTCTCTCTCTCTCTTGCAACACCCTTCTGGCTACCACCAGACGATGTGCAGATTTTGAAGTGTGGAAGCGGAGTGCATTCTGAGTTTCATTCATAAATGTATGTCCTCGGGCCGAGGATGCAATCATCATAATAATGTCTACTTTAGAGCATGAGTCATCCGTAATTGACAGACACATGTATGTTCAGAGTTGGAAACATTGAAAGAACACCAACCAATATAGAGTGTCACTGTCACCTAGTTTTATAAAGTTATAAAGGGGAACCCTTTTTCTTCAAACCAAATGGGTAGTAGACGTATTGGAGATTAGACCAAGTGGAAGTTAGACCAAATGACTATTAGCCTAAATGGTCATTAGACTAAATGATAAGTAGGTGAAATGATTATTAGACCATGTGGGTAGTAAACGAACTGGGTGTAGACCAAATGGCAATAGACCATTATGAGCTCCGTCCCTCTCTCCTTTCAATTACCTTTCCTCCCATCACTTTGATTAAACATGTGTAAATTTGGGAGTATGATCGTTTGTGAGATGAACAGTTAGGGTCCTTGGGAGGTGATGATTTCTACTCCCGTATTCATGTGTTTAATCGGCCGTCATTTTAATTACCGAACCTTGTAACATTATCCGCCAGACCTTGTGCACCTCGACTGACATTGAGGACGAAAATTAATGTCTCCATTCTTTACCAAAGCCCCCGTGTGGCATTCCCATCATCCGGAATCAGTCTTCATCCCTCCAAAAATGCATCATCCATTCCCTGTCTGGCAGTATCTGTCTGTTGCTTCCTCTGCCCCCCTCTCCTGAGCCCCCACCCTTCTAGGATATCTTCATTTCCCCCCCCCCCCAACCCTGTTCCTCCCTCACTCGCAATTAAAAATCAATGTACATCTTCTTTAGCAGTCCTCACATGCTGTTTCCATCTCCTCGAATTACTCTTCTTTCTGCCTCCCCTCCTCTTCTCCTTTCATCCCCCTCTTATCCCCTCCCTCCCCACCCTCCCCCCTCCCCTCCTCCAACACCCCTTCCCAGTACACATTTATTTCTTGACCCTCCCGAACTTTTCCCAAAATCTCCACGTAAAATGAACCCCCCCCATTCCTTACCACCTCTCATGTGGTATCTCCATCCTGC